GTCTCACTCTGTGGCCCAGACTAGAGTTCAATGGCATGATCATGGCTCACCACAACTTCGACCTCCTGGGCTCAGGTGATCCTCCCTCCTTAGCCTCTGAAGTAGCTGGGACTATAAGCGCTTGCCACTATGCCCGATTAATTTTTTTTAAATTTTTTTGTAGAGATGAGGTCTTGCTATGTTGCCTAGGCTCTTCTTGAACTCTTAGGCTCCAGTAATCCTCCCACCTTGGCTTCCCAGAGCACTGGGATTGCAGATACCTAATCAACTTCTTTTACAAGAGAAGTGTTAAAGCCCTTTACTGGATCAGGAGTTGCAGGCCAAAAGCCTTGTCCGTCTGGCCAGTAATTTGGGGCACACACAGTTCGGTGAATTGTCCAAGAGCAGAGCTTATTGCTGGGTGAGTTCTGAAAAGGAAATAACTCCTGGTGACCCGCTTTCCAGTTCTGACGCTATCTGGGGAAATTCACACAGACCTCGCCCTGCACGAGGCCTGATGGCTTTGAAGGTGACAGCTCCTTGGCGATGCCTACACAAGTGAGGGAGAACCTGTGTTCAACAGGTCTCTTGTTGAGGTCCAGTGGTCTGGGGAGGGGCGTGGATTTCAGGAGGTAGGAAGGGAGGCTGGGGTGTCACAGACAAAGGTCCTGGTGCCAGCTGTAACGAGGCTACACCGCACGTGTGTACCCATATAGCTATGAAGCTGGTGGTGAGGGGTAGGGACCAGTGGTATTGTTTTGAGTGCTAACTTCTCAGATTTCAACTATGACAGCATAGGTGGCCTGGCTAGAGCCAGGCCTGGCTGTGTCTCTGATGGCCTCCTGTGTCTGTCACCTGCTGCCTCTAGGTGTCCACGGCTGGTTGCCTTGACATGAGCAAGGAGAGGCTGCAGTAGGCCTCAGCTGGGCCTGCATGGAGGCTTTCCATGGCTCAAGTCCTCAGGTTTCCTAGTATTTCCATGGACTTCTGCTCAGGAAGCTTGCTCCAGCACACATCCTCACATGCCCTCTCCTGACCTTCTAGGTACATGGGAATGACACAGAGATTGGTCAGCACCTGCTCACTCTCTGTTGCCCCTGCTGGTCTGGGAACTGTTTGCTGCATCTTGTGCCTGTCCCCAGCACCCAGCATTGTACTTCCCAGACCTCGCAGCTTGGCCCCTGCTGTGACAGGGGTGTCCCCAGCATGGGACTGTCTTATGCAGTCTGCTTGCATTGGGTCTGTGTTTCCCTTCCCAGGGGACACTGGAGACTCAACGGCCAGCTACACGGTTTAAGGATGATCTTTACTGAGATTTGTAAGATTCTCCTCTTTTTTTGTATTTAATTGAGAAAGGCTTGTACCTCACTGGTCTGATTAAACTTAGGAGTTCCCCCTTTGCAGCAGAAGTAGGAAAGAAAGTGTATAGTTAGTTGCACGTATTCTTTCTGTACCTTGATTTCCCCAGTTGTTTTCTGGCCGTCTAGCTCTGGGTCCTCTTGGCCCAGCAGATGTGTCTTCATAGCTGACAGCTCTGCCTGTGTCCCCAGCTGTCATTGCAGTGGAACCCCTGGTCCTGTTCCCGTATTTGTAAGATAAATTATTTATTGATATTACTCAGCACCTGACACGCAGGTGAGGGTCATGCAACTCAGACACCAGGTTCACAGGCCCAACCCTGCAGCTCCTCCTCCAAGCAGACCCCAAATCGTCCCCTCGCCTTGGGGAGGAGATGGCTTTGGCCCAGCACGCATGGCCCTGGAGATACGTCCTTCTCTGTTCACAAGACAACACCCTCCATCACCCCATGAACCTCCATGAAACCTTCAACATGAAATGCAACATACGTATTATATGTCACTATGTATCAAATCTTGTTGCTTGGTAACTGGCATCGCTCAACCATTTTGACAGTTTGCTGGTAATTTTTTCCATCTTAGTTATAAGATATAAAATAGTTGGATCCCTTTCTGGACTTGGCAGTGATTGCAGTCAGTTTTTAAGCAGTTGTCCTGGTGTTGTCTTCTTCATACACTTGTCTCACAAATCAAGTTCCCTGAGTACTGAGGTAAAATTGCTTCAGATCTCTATTTAAGACCCTCATAAAGTCCCCCCCCACACACACACATACACACACACTGAAATTTTTGTAAAGCTGGTATGTGGCAAGATGGTACAAGTTCTTTGCCTCATGTGCCTTGGTCCTGCGTTGGAGCAAGGGTCACGGTGACCAGCTGGGGAGTTTGGATTTGACTCTGTAGGTTGGAAGGCACCGGGGAAGGAATTCAAGGGAAGAGCTGGATTTGCCTTTTGAGAAATATCAGTCTGGCCACAGCATGAGGACTAAACTGGAGGGAGGTGAGGCTGGAGAGGAGGGATGGAAGGAGGTGGTGAGAGGCAGGGTGACGAGTGCCAAGGGCCACAGGGCGGTAGGTGTGGGACGGGTGTTAGGGAACCAGGAAACAGCAGCTAGAGTTTTGACCCATGAAGTTTGAGGGAAAGAAGCAATTCGATGCATGCCAAATGGTGGAGGAGCAGGAGAGGACTTGGCATTCTTCTGACACTGAGGCGGATGAGCAGCTGAACGTGTTAGAATAGAGGGGGCAGCAGGTGGGCCTGATGGGGGTGATCCCAGAATGCAGTGGGAACGCAGGCTCCAGGTGATGTGGGTGGATGAGAGGCAGCCCGTCCTCCTGGGGGCCCCCGGAACATGCAGGGGGTGGCGTGCCACATGAGGCCTGCCTCAGACATGCCGGTCCGTCAGTGTCAGGGCTCCTGCTGGCATCTCACACATCAGCAACTCCAGACAGCCGTCTCTGGATCCTGTGAACCCCAGTTGACCTTGATGAAGCTGAGCTGGTGAGGTGGGGCTCACCCCCCGCCTCCAAGAGCCCCTCGCCTCCAAGAGCTCTCCTGCTGCCCCATGCTTGTCCCATGAACAGCCTCTGGCTGAGGACACAGGTGCGGGGGATGCTGGTGAAGACCCAGTTTGGGGTGTGCTGCCATCTTGGAGTTGTGGAGAGAAAGGGGAGGACCCCCGTGTCTCCTCCAGGGACGGATTCTTGCATGAGCTAGTGATCTCAGGAATCCCTGCCCACTCCCTCCTTTTCATCACTTGCCCCTCCTCTCTCAGGTCCCCACCCCCCTTCCTCTCTGGTTATCTTTAACTCCCCCAGTCAGCAAGCTCTGCCCGATTTCCATTTCTCCTGGGAGTGCGCACCCTCCCCTACCCGGGTGTGTCGGCTCTGTGGAGCAGGAGCATTCATGCTGGGGCTGGAGTTTCCCCCAATTCAGTGAGTCTGCCGGAGGATCATCCCTGGGAGGTACAAGGAGAGCACCAGACCTCAGGATGCTCCCTGCTGCTCTCAGCCTCCATTTCCTCCTCCCTCACCTCAAGCCTCTCCCCGGGCGCCAGCCACAGAGGCTTGGGGCATCAAGGATGGTCCCTACCCGGCCTCCATGACAGCTTTCCCTCTGTGGTCTGGCAAGGTCTCCGATGTCTCATGCTCCCATCCCCTCTCCTCCAGAGCCACTGCTGCACTTTCCTCGAGGCCTGTCTCCTCACCATCCTCAAACGCTTCTTCCAGGCCTTTCTTTGACCCTGCTGACCCCCTCCTCAGAGTACACCTCCTCTACCCAGACCCATTAGGCCCAGCTCCCTCCCAGCTCCTCTCTCCACCCCTTCCAGCCCCCCCCCCCCCC